GTACACGTCGTGTGGATGGACTGCGGCGTGCAATCTCAATGTTGACCGCGATTCCCATTTAAGCGAACCTTGGTCTTTCGATCACGAGGACCGTAGCTGATGCAAATAGAAATTGGGTACTGCCCGCCCGAAAACGCCGCACTACTATGCGTTCCGATGTTATTGGTTGGCGGCATCCGGTTTCGGATTTGCCTGTCATTGTGACAAGCCACAGGACGCCTGCGCCTACAGAGGGACCATGGGTGACTTGCGCTGCACCACCCACAGCTCCAACCACATATTCCATAGCTAGTGTAAACAAGAAGGAATAAGACGGGGAGGCATGTGGACGGGAGCCACGTTTCATCAACGAAGCCGGCCCACACTCCTTCACAGGCAAAAACAAGCACGCTATATTTGGGAATCAAACGCACACAAGGCGGCGGCTGGACTGTAGTCCGCTCCACACTGAGTGCATGGAACCACTCTTCAAGTCTAGCGCGAACACAAAGACCGTGCACCCCGTCCCCTCCAGCAACGAACAACTATCTCCCAGAGACAGTATAGACGAGGTAGTGGGTAATAGACAGGTAGACACCTTGTCAACATGCACATCAACCGCAGCCGCACCGGGGATGTCAAACAACAGCCAATCACTTGAAATAACATAACAAATAAAATATATCTGTTAAAGAATACGGCTATGCAGACATAACTTTTCCCTAAATTAGCATAAGTTGGTTAGCAAGGAATCCGCGATAAGTAAAAAATGTCTAGAATTGACTCAGAAAATGCTACAAACGCAATAAAGTTAACGAAGATAAGCACAATTACCGTAAGCAACGTAGAAATTTAATAGTAGATTATTCCGGTAGGCAGAACAAATCAAATGAAGGGGAATGAAATTTATCCAGCTTAAAAAGAGACCTAGTTTAAGTGTAAGTTGGTTTAGCCCAACTGCGGTGAAGAAGCATCATGAATGCAACATCAGCCTCAGCATGTTATTACATCCCATAATACAGTCAGCTGCAATCGAACCCGGTACCATCGGGATGTTAGTTGTGACCGATTCCCCTAGGCCACCTAGTAACGGTCAACGCTTGGCACAACGGTATAATGAACGATGTTGAGGGTCATTTTGAAGTACACGTTGTGTGGATAGACTGCGACGCGCAATCTCAATGTTGACCGCGATTCCCATTAAAGTGAACCTTGGTCTTTCGATCACGAGGACCGTAGCTGATGCAAATAGAAATTGGGTGTTGCCCGCCCGAAACCAATCGTTCATTATACCGTCGTGCCAAGCGTTGCCCGTGACCCGGTGGCTTAGGGGTAGCGGTCACAACCAACACTCCGATGGTCCCGGGTTAGATGCCTGCTAACTATCTGATGAGATGTAATAACATCGAAACGCGTCATAGTAGTGCCGTGTTTTCGGGCGGGCAATACCCAATTTCTATGAGCGATAAATATGTTAAAGTTCTGTTACTTTATGCACACACCTCGTACGTATTTTGCTCCACAGGAATGACTTGCTTTTGACTTGCTGATGGAAGTATTTCTGTTGCCATGCGCGCTTCACCAAGGTGCTAAAAGTCATTGGGAACGTTTCCCGGACGACGTCTGATGGCAATAAAAGTAGTATGTCCAGGATGTCTCCTTAGCAAGCGCGAATAGCACGTTGTATATACTTTATCATCCTCTTCTTCAGTATATACCCCATATGACATATATTCAAAGTATAGGGTAACATGGTTACTGATAAATAATGGTGTGCTTGTAACTATTCCTTCCAATATTTTTTCTTCGTTGTTAAGCAAAAGCTTAAGTATCGAATTACTGTTAGCACTTCAAATACTGTTGACCTAGCTAACTTGTCTATATAGAGGGTAGTTGGAAATACGCTCTTGCAAATAGGCCATAAACAGCGCGCTACCGTTTGCCGATACTTCCAGGTCGTGCACATTAAAGTCACCTGCGATGAGAATGTGACTGTATGAATTATTCAAAGCCATCTGAAGAACGTGGTTCAGTTTGGATTTCATTCCACAAGTGAAGTTTGCGGACGGTAAATTGCAGCTACAAGACACGCGTCTTCGTTCTACACTCAAAGCCGGCACCGAAACGGATCTGAGACACAGATTTCTGGGTGAACAAATAAAATAAATAAAATTAATGACCTATATTCTCGAGGTTACACGAGATTGGCCTTGTAATACATTATTCCACCAAAACCTTTTTCAGCTCTATCGTTCCGAAGCAGCGACACACCAGGTAAATTAGCATCAGTATAGGCTTTCTCAAGACTCAGTAATCCTACTGAGATCCCGCAGTTGGGAGGCCTGGCTTTCTCTAAGTTCGGCCTTGAGCGTTAGTGTGCAAACAGGATAGTGTTTTGGATGTTAGAACTGTTGGTGGACGTCAACTTCGTGTTTAGTTTTAAGCCGACCGTCTGGCGGCCGGCCGCTACTCGTTATTGCGTGGGTCGTTGGTGCTTGAATTTCGGTCAGGCTGCGTGGTAGCACAGAGAGTTCCAAATCGTGATGTTCATTCGTGCATCTCTCTGTCCCGAGGGCGCCTTAGTGTTATTGTGCCTGTCACACTGCAGCACTGGGGAGGCAAAGATTTTCTTTAGTTCGCAAGTTTCACCGAATAGTGGAGCCATCGCGTGCCGCTTGCCTGCTATCTTTAGCCGAACCTCGGTTGGTAACCTGCAGCGAGGCTTCAACCAGCTATGCGATAGGAGTTATGCTATTCCTTTGGAGTGCAGTACTACCTTCAATATTCTTGGACCGCAGCCCTTGTAATCTGGAGATGAAGGAGTTCTCGTCAAAGGTTTAGCGATAAGGTCTTCTGGAGAGAACGGTTCGAGGATGTAGCACCACTGCAGTCGGTCATGGGTTTGCGCTTCGTGCTCAGAATAATCCGGCACTGCAGGAACACCATGAATAAATATGCTTTTCTTACTGCTGTTTGTAGAAGGGCCGCCGTTGTTGTCCTTTTCCTCTGACCGCCATTTCCAAGGAAGATCTGGTAGCATGCGTACCCTGCTCGCTGAGTTGGGAAAGCGAACTGCTGAGCGTGGGACGGACTCTGCTTTCTCCGCTTAGTTTAAGGTTACTCGAAGAATTCGAGGTTCGCAGTACTGCACTGAAGTTAGATGACGCGCTACGCGTGTTAGCATAGGGGCTCAACGCAACTACCAATAGAATCACAGATTGAACTTCACTGGCTGTCACCTTCTAGTAACTTGCTTTAATGTGCTGGATTTGGTCTCGGGAACGTCAATACACCCCGTAATTAATGCACCATGTTGCTGCTTGGCGATTAGAGGTTTGCGAGTCGTAGTTGGCAACTTGGATCGTTAAGCAAGTAATTAAAAGGTCGTGGAAACTTCGTCGCATCGCTGGCGCTTGGTTAAGAAAATTGACATACCGGTATCTCTACCGGCGTTTTTATCGAGGTGCCCGATTCTTATGTCACCTGGCTCCGGCCAGCCGGTGCTGTGATCGACTCGTTAGGTGTAGTATCCAGGAATGAGTTAAAGGCTGTCACACCGAACGCTACTTGTCCACTTAGAGTGTTGGTAATTGTCGGCATATATGGAGCAGATGCCGTGGGGTGGTTAGCAAAACTGACCCTACTCGTTGACCTACGGACTGAGCTCTGAGGGGTTTCCAGTCGAACACCATCGGTCTTATGCTATTTTACTGGTAAATTCCTGAATCTCGCCATCTGCTGGACAGTTTCAGTTCTATACGCTTTTTCATGAGCAACAATATAATATGGCTCATTGGAATTTCTCTGCATGATTGGGAAAAGCAGCGTGCATCAGTCAGCTTGATTTGCCGTATATTCTAGTTGACTTACAGCACCACACCTGAGGTGGAGCACGTGGGCACAATTTGACAAGGCGATCCCTCTTCTGATCTCCTGTGCACATTTGCCGCTAAATGGAAGCACGTTCAGTGACGGTTGTTGTACTGGCACGCCACACTTCACCGGTTACGCGAGGTAGAGGGCGAGTGATCTTCACATTCTTTATGATTAGCTCACGGCCGTCGTCGGTTATCGCAGGTAGGCGAGGAAGGACACAGGCACACGAGGGTTGGCTGTCTTAGTGCTCGGTAATGGTTCTACTTGGGTCCGGCCGTTTAACTTAGCTTGTAGTTGGTGGATGTCATCGACTAAGTGCCAGCGACGGGCGTAAGCAATCAAAACCACAAACTTAGTCGTAATTTTGTTAAAATGATCCTTTAGGAATACTTCTTGGTCGAGCAGGTAACGCCGTTAATACTTTGTTGAGCGCAGTTTCGCAGCAGTGAGAGTAGTTAAAAAATAGGTTTATGCCTCTGGATAGGAACACGAAAAGTGTTAAAACGACGGGTGAAACAAATCACTATCCGCAGGAAAGAAATCCGTACAACTGAAGGAAGTTAATCCTATTCGAATAATCGCATGATGACTGCCCTGGGTAAAGTATGAGACTAGAAAATCCGTGACAGCGTGCCATTTCCTATGTAACCGTACGTAGGTGTTAGTAAAGTGGCATTAGTGCGGAACAGACAGTGAACGGTGTCATGATACCCAGAAACTCTAGGCAGGAATAATCAAATGTGCAACTGCAAACCTACTGTGGAGTCATGTTGCTTTGGTTTTCTTACATCGACCCTGTGTTCGCATGTTGTTATGTACACCCTAGCTATCCTACAGAACTTGCCAAGCATTTGCTTTTTTACCCGTTATAAATCATTACTCCAGCCTCTCACATGAGTTTCAACGTCACTAATGGTGAAGATTTTGCACTTTTTCTAACAAATGCACATGAATGGGTCTGCAGTTTAGGAGCTGTTACAAAGATAACTGCATTTCTAGAGAGAAAACGAAGCATAAAGCACGGGAGCCATCGGGTAGATCGACTTAGCTCAATTGTACCAAAACACCTGAAAAACCGGTGTTCGTACACGGAGTTACTCGAATGAAGTCATATGGTCAGCATTCATCAAAACTAAGTTACTTACGCTTGTTGCCCGCCTGGAACCATCGACCAAATTTTCTCTCAAGGAAAGATGTGTTTCCCTGGTAAGCGAATACAGGTTTACAGTCACCGTTCCGAGGAGGCTGTAGGTGCAAAATAGTGCAGGATTGATAAGATGCAGAAGTCTGCAGTTCACCGACAAAATGTTGTATGAGAGCGTCATAGGCTTTCAACTAAATCGCTAAGAGGGAAACAGTAATTACGCCCATGGGTAAGACTAGGCTGAAGAAGAAACAATTTATAAAAGGATCACAACTGACGTGTACGCTTGACGCTAAACACCTACTGCACAAATGTTTGTTTCCACAATTCACTTGTTAGGTGGAACTCGTTAGTCATTATCAACTGTGGCGCTGTATTTGTTATTCTCAATCAAGGCGAACAAGCCCCATAAGTCAGGATAGCTGGGTCGGCTGCATCGGAGCGTTAGACCAATAATTTTCCCCGCTAGCCTACCGTCACACAAAGTAGCTGTTGAATGATTATTATTACCAGTATAATGTATGATAATGGGTTAGTGTTTATCAGTAGCGTTCATGAAAGAACTTCATGCAAACGAGATATTGCATTTTGCTGCTGCTTGTAATTACGGTGCCTGTGTTGGGAACGGTAGTGATAGTTTCAGGGCGAGAACCCATTTGTATGACACAACTATCCGTATGTTGCTGTTTACAAACGACTGTTCGTTGTTTTCACACAGCGCGGATGAGTTGCAACACATGAATTCAGTCTCGCTTCGATAGGGATCAATTTCAGGCTCACCATGAACACAGTCTTCACCAGGAGTAGATTCCGTGAGCTTGCCGATAATCCAGCTTGCCGATGACGTGTTGGAGACGGCATCGAACTTGTGCTACCTTGGGAGCGTAATATAAAGCGGCCTGCAGAAGATGAGTGAGCTGCGCGTCCGCGTATCGGAGGTGACTGCGGCAGCTGGGAAACTGGAAAATGGTATGTAGAACAACCACCAGCTTATCGTTGAAACGAAGCTGATGGTATACTAGTCTATGGTACTGTCTGTTCTTCTCTAGGGCAGTGAAACATGAACGATGTACTCGAAGGACGTCAGAAATCTGGAGCGGTTTCATCAACAGTGTCTACGGCGGATTCTGCGCATCGGCTGCTATATATGCAACCGCGAGCTGGGAAGCGACACGTAGGAAACCGGAGCTACGTTATCAGAACATGAGCTTGGTGAGTTTGTCACAAACCAATGTTCATTTTAGGTGTTGGGAATCAGAGGCAGTTGATTGTCGCGAATGGCGAGAGCTTAGCAAGAGCGCAGTTGCCCAGGTGAATGAGAAAGCACTGCTGCATGCGGAAAGGAAACACTGGATACAGAAGCGACAGGCGTCGATGGAGTGTACTCCGTCGACTTCGAGCGCGTATTGCTGCGGCACATTCTGTCGGGAATGCCTGAGCTAATCGGGTCAGGTAAGCCACCAGCTTGGCCACACTCGGGCAGCATCCACAAGACGACGACTCAGCTGATTATCTAATCAGCATCAGTGAAGCGTTCATACGTACGCTGCGTCCGCTGGCATTCAATTTACTAACTCAGACCAATGAAGCGGTTGATGTGGTTCGTGTGCTACATCATGGTTGCCTTTGGTGTGTACGTGTTGAGTTTCTTGCATTTCAAGTGTTGATTGTTGTTTGGTATCTCCGGTGTGGTTGCGTTTGATGTGAATGTTAACAAGGTGCGTACCTGTATAACACCCTGCACCTCGTTTATACTGACTCCAGGGGACTGAGAAACGATGCTGGAGTGGGTGGGGTGCACGGTCCTCTTGACGGTGCTAGGTTTAAAGAGTGGTTCTATCTAGTGTGTTCCATCTAGTGTGCGGCTCAGCCCTCGCTTTGTGTACACCTGGTACGCATGATTCCCTAAGTAACCTGACTGAAATACTGCTGTTGTGCATGTTGTAGGAGTGTGGGCCGGCTCTGTTGCTGGAACGTGGCTCCGACGCACATGCCTTCCGGTCTTGTTCTTTCATGTTTACATTGGATATTGGGTGTGTGGATGGAGCTGTGGATAGTGCAGCGCAACACCTCATGATCCCTTAGTAGGCGCAGGCGTGCTGTGTATGTCTGGTGGAGACTGCATTGACAGACAAGTTCGGAATCGGATGTTGGCAATCCTATACAGTGTTTTGCATTCTCCGGTGTATGCATCAACCATGCGGCTGACAAGGTACCTGTTGAGTTTTGTCTCTTCAACCGATTCACAGTCTGATATGTGCTGAGCATTCACTCCATGTTTGTTTCTGACATTGGATCGCTTTCGATTTAACGGTTACCTACTCGTTTGATGCCGTCATCTCGATTACTGGTCTTAAGAAACTGATACTCGTTACTAGGCAAGATGGGGCTTGCGAGTGTTGCTCTGGGTGGTGTGTGGCAACACAGCCATAGATTTTTCTTTGACTGCGGGAGTTCTGTGGTTACAGACAAATATGAAAACGGGTGCCATTTACCGCGTGGCGTTTGAGGTGTGTACACGGTCCCTATGAATGACCTTGGGGTCGTCTTTTATTCAAGTAACTTTATTGTTTTTTAAAATGTTTAAATTTTGTTTTCTGGCGGCTGCTGGATGTCGGTCTAATATTATCCCTGAATAATCGAAGTTTTCAAGCTACGTTAAATTCTTAAAGATTATTTCGTAACCCTTTAGGTGGAGGCACTCCCACAGTTTTGCTGAAATTGTGCCATAAACTGTTACGGAGAAATCTGGTCATGAATTAGCTGGGTTCATGTTAATTACGTTTATTCGGAAGGCATAACAATGGTATGCTGCATTCCCTTCACTTTAGGGAAATGCATAGCCAACGTGGAAATCCTGTTATTAATTTGGTGGTTCTAAACTTAATCTGGTCTAGAATTGCTTATCAACAAAATGAGGGCCCTGGAACCATTTGGCAATTCGATTCCGCAAACTGACGGTACTCATCATTGGTTCGAACTTCAATAGAAATTAACCATGATTTGCGCATCAATGCTCATCATGTTCGACTTGGCTATTACTTGCACCCATGAGGTTGATTTAGAGGCCTCTGACTTGAACTCAGGGCTTTGGGATGTCAGCCGGAACCTCTGCACCTAAGCCACCGGGTTGTGGGCAACGCATGCCACGAGGATTAACGACTTCTTGCAGGAGACATTTCGAAGCACCCGTTGTGTGAATATATTTAACCGTTCTCCACCTCGCGTGAATGAACAACGCCTTAATGCACAACACGAAGGCGGCCAGAATTTCCAGTAGGAGTGTAGCTCCGCAGAGATAATTCGGCCGAACAATTTAACTAACATACGGGAAGTTTTAACGGTTGTTGCATTCAAAATGGTGTTTTTTTAGACATACCTGTCAGGCTTTCCTTTCCGGTGGTGGTATGCAGCCAAGATGAGTGAATCTTTGTCATCCAGCGGGCGACTGACAGGCCATAGCAGTGTTTGTCCGAAGTACACGCTATCTCTTCCATTGGCTGCTTTGGTCACAAGTTTCTTTTCTAAAATGGTTAGTGGGTTGCGATTAGGTGCAAGGGAGGGAGATGGGTTTACACGAGGAAGCAAGCGGATAGATTACCGCAAGCAAACGGAATAGACGATTGGACGCTTACGCATCTCCGCATCTACGCTGCTTGGTTAATATTTGGCTGCGATGAAAGAATGGTATAGTGACCATGAAGTTGGGAGAAAGATCTTACGAAATAAATACTGGACGGAACATAGTCAGAAGGAACAGAGTGCAGCTGAGGCAACAGCAGGAACGCTTAGGTGCACCAGAAACAAGGCAAACATCGGCTTACGCTGGGATCACATCTGCGGGGTCATAAAGATCACGTGGACAGTGAGAGCGTACGGAGTCTGCAGCTACACCGGTGCTGCTGATCACGAAAAAAGGAGGATTTTAATAAGATTGTGCAATCAGAGCAACGAGACGGAATTACATCACGAGGCAAGCGGACAGATGACCGCAAGCGAACGGAGCAGATGACTGGACGCCTACGCATTTCCGCCTCTAAGCTAATTGGTTGGTATTTGGCTGTGCTGTACTAAGTTTGTTTGATTGAAACAAGAGAAGAATCCCATGGGTGCAGAAGCTTCGTTAGTTATGAAAGTGAACTAGTTATTTAGCTAGAGACTTATACATGCTAGTAGTGCTGTAGTTTTCGCTGAGGTTGTTTTATCGTATAAGCCGTTTGGCCCTGAAGCACCGAGCTCTGCGACAGGAAGTACCAATGCATATCGATTAGTTCGGTTTGAGGACAATTTAAAGGGATTATATACCAAATGGTGATTCATTCATCGATTCCAGGATTGTCCTGTCTTTGAATCTGCTTTGGGCACAAAACTTCCAGCAATCTATTTACTGCAACCTATTGAAGATGCCATCTGAGAATGTAGTGAAACTTTTACTAATAGATAAGTAGCTAGTTGCGCAAATCCACACGTCAACCAACGATGCGAGCTATCGGTATACCGAAGTATTGCAGAATGACCACTATTTCCTTTGCACTCTGGATCTTAAGATGTGCGAATACAGTGTAGAGCGCAACCTGAAATTGACTGGTGCTTCATTTTGAAGTAAACCCAAGCCATTAGCATTAGTCTCACTGTTCTCAAATGGAGGAATTCTCGGTATCACACTCATTTAACTGCACCCCAAACTTACAGTTGCCCATAAACACTTCAGCACCTTTCGGGCAGATATAACAAAACTGCGAATGGTGACTTCGAGTTCTGTCATGTGGGACTGCCAATGTTCTGCTCCTCATAAGTTATCCAGCAAGCTGGAGGCGAATATTTTACATGTACCACATGACATCGGACAGTTATAAACGGACTTGGTTCATGTTTTTTAACTTGCTGTATATTATGACTGACCCCATCACTTTAATTTAGAAGGCGTATGCCCCATGGTAAGGTAGAACAAATTGCAATTCAGGGATTTCTTGGACTTATGATACTTCGACACGCTGAAGTGTATGCGATAATATAAAGGACACTACGTACAAAGGATCGATTAGGCGCCCGCAACTGTTGAACGGCGCGACACGTTTTCGAGACAAAACTTGTGCATACGGCAGATACTGCGATCAACTGACTCACTCAGTCAATCTTCGTCGTGCAGGTTGCTATGGCTTCGGACATGATCGTACCTATATCTACAGACAATGGAGGCCGCTAGCAAGTTTGAACCTGTATAGACAAGTGACTTGAATCACCCCAGTAACGGACAGTCGAAGTGAGCGCACGTGACCAATAAAGTAACCATGCTCTATCTCCAGCACCCTCCAGTCTGGCAGGCCTCTGTCTTCTACTTTTTATTCACGGCTGGGTTTGTGGGGCGGAGAGCAGAGCATAGACAACATTGCAACAGGGTCACTTACATTCTAGACAAAATATTGTTGAACAGTACAAGAGACATACGAATCAGGCGACTGGATCAGCCGAAGCACCAAACAGACAAGCATCACAGGTTCGACCGAGATGGGTCTATTTCAAGGATTACATTTTCTTCCACCATGGACCGATAGTCCGATCAGTAAGGTTGCCGACTCAAATAACCAATTATGTTCCAACAGAGGAATAAGCGCCATTAATCATGTTGAATAATGTATGGAACCACTCGAAAACTCATTTCAGAATGGTTTGAAAACCACCAGTTACTTGACACAGTCAAAAACGCAACGATGCTCTTCTCTAAACAATGATACACTGAGGATGTGACCTTAATTACAGACAAAGGTAAGACAAAAGTGCCACACTCAACGAACAGAGCTGCCACCAATTGGACCGGATGATAGATACGCATTTGTTTCATTATCACTATTGTGTTTAAAGCACCTTTATTCGATGGCATTGGGTCATATAGTCCCAGTCATGCCTGAGACAGTCTTGCCTGAAACACAGTAAGGCCAGGCGCTGCGAGTAGGCAACTCCACCATCCGACCAACATCTGTGGCTATTCATACTTACAGAATTAATACAAGAATTAAGACAGCTGTACAGGGTATCCTGTGCCAACTTTCTTTGCTGTTCCTTACTTAGGCGAAATGTTTCAGCTGAATCACACTGTTTTGAATTATACGTTGTTCCAGTCATCCGCTTTTGGGAGTAAAATTATCAGATTCAAGTTTACGTGCTTATTATGGCAAGAGTTGCCAACCAACTATCGCAAATTAGATTTCACTCAGTTACTGATTTGCATTGGCAGCCCAAGCCTTTGGTTTTCGGGCGAATAGAGCAAATTCTTCGTATCGTTTACATTGTATTGCTAGCAAAAGTACTTATACACAAGGCTCCCGATGGACCAAGTCACCTTTCCCTTGCATACATAGCATCAACCCGCAAAATTGTAAAAGGTTTTCGTCCTGACAAACAAAATAACCGGGTAACGTAAGGTCCGATATCTTCCATCGCATGCTGCATGCATCGAGAAGCCCTAAGCAAACCTAGTCATCTTCAGGGCGAATCAAGACAGAGCAAAACAAACCCACTTTACCTAGCCTAAATAGTACCAAACTAAAATGACTTAAATGTGCGCTTGAACTATATTGCCGTATTTCTGATACACTGTGTGTTGCACGACGCCTTCACGGACCAGCATTTATTCAGCAAACTCAAGTCGGCGAAAATTACATGGTTGGAAAGCCAAACTCCTCGATTTAAGTTACCAGTGCAAGTCCGTAACTAACGGCCCTTTTGAGTTGATGAGGTTCCTCCTTTGCTTGTTAAACAAGGGGTGAATCACTCACACTAATATCGGCCAATCCGTATCCAGTACTTCCTATCCAGTGCTTCCTATTGGCTCCGGCTCGCGCGGTTGGTCCATCCGCTTACTTTGATCTGACACTCCCCACATACTATGATCTTGTGCACAACAACAACAACAACCAAACTTAGTTGTATAGTTGCTAGTGGATTCGGAAGTGCAGATTTCACCAGTACTCAGTGCGGTGCGGCATGCATTCTCCTGCTCTAACTTTTGCATTCCATGCCTCGTGGGCTTTTGGTTGATATTGTATGGCAGCGCACACTGTCTAACTAACCGACTCAGCCAGTCTGCATCGGGTATTTGCCATCTTGGTTTCCTACTTATTTATTTATTCATTTATCTATAAACTTCCTCACCTTAAAATAACCCTGAGTGGCTGTAGTGGGTTTGCTTCCTTTGTTCTTTTTGACCCGTTTGTGTCATCCAAGCACTTACCGGCGGCTGCTTTCTCTGGACGTCACCTCACGTGAAAGACCAGATAGAGCCTGGTCTTGATTTCTTCTTGGTGGCTAATTTATCGAATCCTTATGTTAAATGAATCCTCCTATAAGCTAAAACTCAGGACATCCCATGATGAGCTTAATTATTGGTGTACTTATTAAACCTCATTTGAGGCTCCGCCTATTTTTGGGCTTCCGCAGCACTCCTGATTCTGGTACATAAACAGTAGTGTTGTACAGCAGCTAACTGCTTCCCAATATGTTTTTACCTAGCGTGGTTAATTACCTCGACGTGCCGTGGCCAATACATTTGCCGTCTGCATCCGAGTGCGCTGAATGTGCATAAATGTGCTCTGCTTTTAACATGGGGAATCTGTGGACCGAGATTTGGTATCCGGTAGCAATACAAAGGCTTACTAATGATGAACCAGTTCGGACAAGAGTCTATGGTGCAACTGCTATTAGTGAATACCTCCCAATTCGTAGGGCTAATTCTATAAAACTCAGCTGCAAGTGGTTGCGTGGCCTTGTACAACGAGTCATGCCAACCAATACCTAATTGTCATCTCCTCTTAGTCCTCATGCATCGCTTTCATCCCGTTAACAAGGTGATGGCCTACTTGTCATTGTGCCACATCTGCACATGGTCGGATAAAGCATGGACGTGCGGGTGAAGTCTTTTTATGGAATGTTACTCATAGAACCAAGTTCTTTGGAGACAGTTCCATAGATGGCCATTAGATTCCACTTGAACATTTGGCTATATTTGCATTTGTTATCGCTCGTAGTTTTCGCAATATTTTAAACACATTCAACTTGTCGCTCACTCCAAAAAAGCTAAAAGGTTGCTGGCTGTATGCGATCCCGACGTAGATATTGACCTGACCACTCAGTTGGACTGAGTCCAGCCCTTTAGTTGAACTTACCGTTTATTTAACCATCTATTTATGCCTGGTAGAAATACTGCACTGGACTGCCAGGTACCCAGGGCAGCGCATTTCAACCTACCGGCACCAGTGACGATAGACCACTGCTATCTCAGCTTAGGTTCGACTTGTTATGGTCTGTCGAATCATTTGAGGTAGTGACGGCTCTTAATTACAAACCGCAGGCGGAGCTGAGACCCGACGAAATGGCGATCGAAGGTTCGTCAACGTCTAGTCTTGAGGAGCTGCCACAGGCCACATACCTCAGGCTTAAGAATGAGGTACCTTCACCGATGGGGCAACTCTTTTGTGTCTGCAACAGTAATTATTTGCATACACAAGAGATTACAGACCATTGCCTG